CACGCAGAGCGCGTCGTCCGGGTAGCTGGTGAGATGGGCGAGGACCAGAAACAGTCTGGTATGGTCCTCGAGCGATCTTTCCCCCTGCTCCAGCAGGAGGAGGAGGTATTCCGGGCGGGCGAGGGGATCCATAGGGAAACAAAAACACTGTTTGTCAAAAAACACTGAACAAAACACAGAAACAAAATGGAGGGGAAAACAAGCAACTACTTTTTGTTTTAATGTTGTCGGTCCGGTATTCTGTCACGATCAGCTACTGTGAGGGAGCGAGGAGCAAACGTGACGCAGAGACGCAGGAATTCACCATAAACACAGTCTTTAATCCAGCAAACACGGGGTACACAGGGCAGACAGGAGCACACGTAGCATGAGACGATCACATCCAAGAAGACATTCACAATACCGGACAGGGAACACAGGCAAACACAGGGCTTAAATACTAAGGATCAAACGAGATAAAACACCGCTGAATCAAATGGGAACCAATACGAACAGTATCTCTCTCTCTCTCTCTCTCTCTCTCTCTCTATAAAATAAAATAAAATAAAATAAAATTTTAAATAAAATAACATTTCTGGTTCTAGTGGTTTTTGGATATTTTAATAAAAAAATCTAACATATTGTGCCTTTAACTCTAAAACACAATGCAATGAAGTGTAAAATTCAAAATACTGGTAAAACACCTGTAAAAAATAAATACCGAAAAATGTATTAAAATTATACAGTATATTGTGCCATATGTTTACAGATTTTTTTAATATGAACCTTTATTTATTTATTTACTAAATGAACAATATTCTTGAATTAAATCAAATTCATTGATTTTAATTTAGATGTTATTATGCATGATTTTTTTTAGATTAACTAATTCAGAGGAAAATAAAACAAAAAAGTGCCTAAACATGCCTGTTCTCACTCACTGCAAACATTATTTATTTATATACTGTATTTAGCCTACTTATTTTCTTTCTTACTTACTTACTGAACAATATTATTGAATTAAATTAATTATTCTTGATGTTATTATGCATGATTTTTCAGGCTGACATTCTTAGTGTAGTATAAGTTAGTAATATTAAGTTAGGTTCATATTTTCCTTCACTAACACATTATCAGCTCAGTTAACTGTTTGCAAACCATCATAGACTTGGAAGCATTTTTTTTTTCCTTTTTGTGCCTCAATCTTTCAAATAAGGAATCTTACCTAATTAACTAGACTAACCTATAACTTAAAGGATAAGACAGCCTTTTAGAAAGAAGCAACACCCCTCTATCCAACACACAAACATACACACACACACACACACATAAACTGCTACCCATCCCTCCCAGCCAAAGGGGCTCCCATCCAGGCTGACAATAACCCAGTGGCAGCTGGTCGATCGATACCCGACAAAAGCTCGGAGGTTGGGGCAGTCAAAAGATTGTTAACTAGCCATTTCATCTCACAGACATTTAGATGATTGTTCGTGCTTCACTGCACTCCTTCAGCGAGGCTGCTGCCACACCTGTGCAGGGCCTTTACAAAGCCTGCTTACCCGCTCCTGATGACCTCACTATGGCCAGCAAATAGCCCGACACAAAAGCACTGCTCCTCAGAATGCATCATACTTAACTGCGTTTTCAGGCATGGCTGAACGAACACAAGCCATAGATACTGTATTTGGCAATACCATAATGTTGTTAAACTACACTTTATTAGTCTGTGTGGCTTTATTTATTTATTTATTCATTTATTCATTCAATTAGTTTTAATATACATGTATAGTTTATTTTTATCCATCTATCTAAAAAAACTAATCCTAAACTCTCCCAAAAAATTTCCAATATATAAACAATATAATCTATCTATCTATCTATCTATCTTATTTAAATATTTATTTATTTAGTATAAATTTACAATTTATTTTTTATCTATCTACCTTGTTTAAATATTTATTTATTTAGTATAAATTTATCATTTGTTGTATCTCGGCCTTATCTATCTATCTATCTATCTATCTATCTATCTCTGTCTGTCTGTTTGTATCTATCTATGATCTGTCTGTCTTATTTGTTTATTTTTTTATCATTTATTATAAAATATTTATTTATTTTGCACTTTTCTTTTTGACATCTGCGTAGTTATATTGTCTGCGGGATTATAATGTAGATCCTACAAATATATGTAATTTTGCTTGAAACTTCCAGTTCAAATCATTTCAGACATTCATCAGACATTTCAATCCAAAGGATTCACTTTTGAAAAATTAAAACGCCCCTTTAACCCCAAAATTTGAGATTATGATTAAAACAAGTCCCTTGGGTCATAGCAAGAGCTGACCATGTTGTCATATTTAAAACTTAAGAAAATTTGCATCTGCCATTCAGTTAAGTACATTGGCTCCTGTATACTGTGATACATTAGCATGTGATTTGTTGGTTAATTAGAGGGCTTATGATAATGATAATGACCACATAGCCCATGATGCCACATTTCCAAGTGTTTAGCTTTGGTGATTAGCCGCTGGATGCCTCCTCCCCCATCTAGTGTCCACACAGCACTGATTAAATCAAGATGAATGAGTTATTGGACACGGGACACACACAAGCAGCGTACGCTGGTGTATGTCATATGACAAACACCACCTTATCTGGTTAGTGTGAATTCATTAATTACCCAAAGCAGCTGGTATTAATTGCCAACAGGGTGTTTTGAATATACAAGAGCCCTAAAAACATTATAAATGTGTTTTTTGCTTGACTAACCTGTGCATGTGTGTGAGCTTTCTGCTTAAACTCCACACACTTGTCCTCTAGTAGTGATCATATGTCAGCGTTTACACTCCTGTGATCATGTCTATGGTTGTGTGATCCAGCAAAAAGTCAGCACATGGTCCACGGCCCTGCTCTAGTAGTTCAATGGGGTTGTGGGACGTGGGCCGAGGGGTTGGGGCTGGGATGTGGATGTGGACTGGCGCTCTCTGAGGTTCATCCAGGCAGAGCCAGGCTTCCTGCTCCTCCTTTGTCACACCATTTGGGCTCTTGTGTCTCGGGCTCCACTGCCCTAGCCTCACTTGGCAGCCCTGCACACACAGGGACATCTGGTCTCTCTGTCCCACCTCCTGCTGAAAAGAAAGAGTCCGGCCATGGCCCCACATTTATATGATATTTTACAAAAGCGTTACACCCTCAGATTCCAGATTTTCAAATAGTTGTATCTCGGCCAAATACTGTCCTATCTTAACAAACAATACATCAATGCAAAGCTTCAAAAAATTTTTTTTATCAAATTAAAAAAAATACCCTTATGACTGGTTATGTGGTCCCGGGTCACGTGTTCTGTATATAAAATGATAATCAAATAGTACATTATAGAATATTCATTAGCTATGAACCTGTAATCCAGTAACACACACTGATTCCTGAGTACTTCTTTAGGCTTATTTAACAATAGATTCTGACTTTCGAAATAAATAAATAAATAAATACATTTAAACGTATATTTGTCTTCCATCAAAGTAATAATTTATTTATTTACTTCTTATTTTATTTATTCCTTCTTTTTTTTTTAACTCGATGCTTTCAACGTAGTCCTAAATCTTTATTACTAGTTTCGAATTCCGGCAATTAGTCTACTGATGTTTCGCAGGACTCGGACAGGTAGACCACTAGATTATCAGTTTTCCTGGATAATCATAAGATTAAAGAGGAAAGTGCTCCCACCATCTCCGGAACAGCCGCTGACTTCCCCTCTTTTCTTTTCGCAAAATTATTGAGAGCACGCAATATTAAACCCATTTTGTTCGTGCGCACTGTGTGGACTGGCGCTCTCTGAGGTTCATCCAGGCAGAGCCAGGCTTCCTGCTCCTCCTTTGTCACACCATTTGGGCTCTTGTGTCTCGGGCTCCACTGCCCTAGCCTCACTTGGCAGCCCTGCACACACAGGGACATCTGGTCTCTCTGTCCCACCTCCTGCTGAAAAGAAAGAGTCCGGCCATGGCCCCACATTTATATGATATTTTACAAAAGCGTTACATTGAACTGTAGTAACATTTCATAGCGCTTGAAATAATTTGTATAACAAGTGAGAGAGAGAGAGAGAGAGAATTCATAACACATACAATTATTTGTTATATGTGACCCTGGACCAAAACCAGTTATAAGTATGGGTATATTTGTAGCAGTAGTCAACAATACATTGTATGGGTCAAAATTATCGATTTTTCTTTTATGCCAAAAATCATTATATAGTATTATATAGATATTGAGTAAATTTCCTATCGTAAATATATGTATATATAAGATTAAAGAGGAAAGTGCTCCCACCATCTCCGGAACAGCCGCTGACTTCCCCTCTTTTCTTTTCGCAAAATTATTGAGAGCACGCAATATTAAACCCATTTTGTTCGTGCGCACTGGGCCAGAATAACGCGATGATTAGGGCCACGAATGGGACAGGTTTCTTCAGCTTGATTTCATGACGGTAATGTAGCCCATGCATGGAAGAAGAAAGGCAGAGATGGGGACATCTGTTCAATACAGGCCAAAAAGAACCTCGGTGGCCTGTATGGCATCTTGGGAAAGAAAGCAACATGATATCACATGCGCGAACGTTTTGTTGTTATTTTTGACTCCTTTTTTATTTTTGAAATATTTGTTTTATTTTGTTCGTTCGTTTATTTCATTTATTCATTTACAGTATTAAACCTCTAATCACAAATCACGAATTAAATTTTATTTGCACATTTTTTGGCCAAGTATAGCTACGTTATAACCTTTGATTCTTTTTAAAATAATTTATTTAAAAGTTATAAAATTGTGAAATGCGTTTTCTGTAGTATTGTTTAAAAAAAAATCACACGCTGTTGCTGCGCTTCCACCTCATCCTCTCTCACGCATCTCTAGCGCTGTCTTGTCAGAGGACATGAACACATGTTTTGATTACACCACCGGTGGCCGAGCGGCTCCTCCGTTATTCGTAATTAAACTCAATTCCCTAAGTAACATTTATCTTCCAGGGTCTGCGCGTTCACTGTGCGCGAGCGCCACTGCCTTCTGCTGTGAGAGAGGAGATGCGCGCGGGGTCAATCAATAAAGCGAGGACACAGACACGGTATGTGCATCATGCATCTGTTGCAATCAAACAATGCTGCAGTGTATGGGACATTTGTTTGTGTGTGTGTGACATTTGTATTTTGGTTAGAGTTGCGCTTGCACGTTGAGTTATGGAAATGTATTGCCGTGAAGTTTCACCACTTTATTTATTTGTCTGTTAGTCTTTACATGCTGATGCAATTTCAGGGATTTTTTTTTTTTTTTTTTTTAAATAAGGACTAGTAAGTTATAAAATATTTTTCATGCGGATGCAATTTCAGGGGTTTTTTTTTTTTTTTTTTTTAACTCTGTGTGGTATGAAAATGTTTTAGTGCTGGACAGGGATTCATTAGTTAATTATCATAATCTCACCATCCACAAACCAAAGTCTTTAAATCATCTGAGAGAAAATACGTTTGATTATTTGAACTTATTCTTTATTCATTCTGTAGAATTAACTTTACAAACTGTACAGGTTTTGTTTCAGAATACATGGCTGACATTTAAAATTTGCGCAAAGTATCATTTTTTCCCCCGATGTGCCTTGCTTAATTTTTTATTGCGTGTTTTTCTCACTCTCAATTTTGAGCTCAACTGCATCTTGTTCTTTGAATTAGAAAGGGTAAGCACTGCCAAGGAAACAACAGAACTGTTGTGCAAATCGAAGAAACAGAGAAATGAATCTGATCAGCCATCTATCACTTCCCGCAATAAAGGAGGCGACACGGCGGAGGCAGATGATTTGATGAATAATCTTCGGTCGTTTTAATTAACTTTTTGCTGTCCTATAATGACCAAGTTGGTCAACGGAGCCGGTCAATAAGAATGTTAATATCAAACAAATAAAACTTCTCATGATTAAAAACCTCCTGCTTTATTAAATTTGAAATTCAAATGAAATTTATGCCTCCAGTCCACGACGCATGTAAATAGAGTAGCCAGGGCTACATCATTATCCTGAGAGCATTTCTGCATTCATCGTCCTGATATCAATAGCCTGCCACTGTATTGCTGTTGAGAGTTAACAGAACACAAAAGCCATATTCCACCTTGTAAAGACGTTTACATGCATTATGTGAAATGATTTTTATACTGACCAACAAGAGTTAAATGCTCGCAATTCGTAATACATACGTAATAATAACAAATTGTCAGAAAATACTCCAGTCCTGCGTAAAATACTGTGTGTGTTACTTGTCATGTGTGTAAGGAAACAGCGAAAGAAAGAGATGGTAGCCTAAAGTTATGAGAGTAGCCTATACATATTGATTTCGTTAATTTGCTATGCATGCATATACATTTGTTAAATCAATCGACCCACAATGCACGCTTATTTGAATAATTTAAACTTTTGTCTACAGAAGGAAAGTTTTATTAAACGTGTTAATTTTCGAAACAATGGTCAAACATTTAAAGAACAGTTATTTTATAAAAATAAAATAAATAAATAAAGGCAACCTGTTCGTTTTCTCTTCTTGACCTGTACAACATAATTTCTTTAAAATAGTTTATGGGAATCTACATTCTACAAAACAACCTGTAAGACAATGACAACGACTTGTAAGAGTGATAGGATATACAATTGCTATTTTTCCGTTATCATAACTTGTAGCACACATAATAATAATAATAATTATTATTATTATTCATAACAGATCAGGGGGTCCAGTAACCTCGTTAACCTCTTTATACAAAAGAATAGAAAAGTTTTCCCTAAAACTTCCAGTCCTACTCATTTAAGTTGAGTTTTATTATGAGGGGGGTGTTGGAAGGGGTGGAGATCTTGTCTGAAGTGCTCTATCGATGACCTCACGCTAGAATGTGGCCGCGTGAAGGTACGGCTCGTCCTGATTGGTCGCCCGTGTCACAGCGGCACTTCAAAGCCGTGAGAGGAGCTACAATTGTGCTGGAATGGGCGGACCACATCATTGTATTGACAAAAAAAAAAAAAAACAGTGCTCTGATTCATAAATATAAAAAGATCCTCTGAGGAGGGCACTTTTGTGATGGCAACTTCACTTCTAGGGGTGAGTCTAAGGAGTTTCGTGCTGGTTTAATTAGTTTCCTTTATTGTCGTGCCGTGGGGATTAAAATTTCTTGGGTCAGCCGGGGAGAGAGTCACTTGATTATGTTTTAAAGCGACAGAAACGAGCAGGACTTCCATTTCTCAACTACGACATTGTATGTATATCTTATCTTGGTATTTCTATGCTGTGTTTCGCTTTTGTTTTGTGTTTGCGAGTTGTTGTAGCTATTTCAGTGGTTAAGATTTGCCTTACTTCAGGTATGCTGGGGTTGCAGCGAGTTAAAACTGTTCTTCGAACGCACACAGTTCCCAAATCTACCATCTTTACTTACCTTTTAACTTCTTTTGTTCCAGGAGGAGCCGAGATTGGGGTCGACTCCTTTAGCCATGTTGGCTGCGACGTGTAACAAAATCGGGAGTCCGAGTCCTTCTCCTTCCTCTATTTCGGATAACTCGTCTTCGTTCGGAAAAGGATTCCACCCGTGGAAACGAGCGGCAGCCAGCAGCTGTAGTTTGGGATCCAGTTTATCCTCTTTCGCTCGGAATGGTGGTGGTTTAAGCGACTCTTTTGGTACGAACACGTCCACGGGATCCAGTGCCTTTTCCTTAACTTCTGGTACTTCATCCAACTCCCACTTCGCAAACGACTACTCCGTTTTCCAGGCGTCGGTTTCCAACAACTCCCAAGAGCCCAGCCACCAGCCCATGTTTATTTCCAAGGTGCACACGTCCGTGGACAGCTTGCAAAGCATTTACCCGAGAATGAGCGTGGCGCATCCCTACGAGTCGTGGTTCAAGTCCTCGCACCCTGGCATACCCACTGGGGATGTGGGCACCACGGGCGCGTCCGCGTGGTGGGACGTGGGAGCCGGTTGGATTGACGTGCAGAACCCGAACGGAGCCGCGCTCCAGACGTCCCTTCACTCCGGTGGGCTGCAGACTTCCTTACACTCTCCTTTGGGGGGATACAACTCAGACTACTCGAGTTTAAGCCACTCTGCCTTTAGCACCAGTGCGTCCCCCCATCTGCTGACCACCGGTCAGCATCTCATGGACGGATTCAAACCAGTGCTCTCCTCGTACCCGGACTCCAGTCCCTCTCCCCTGGGTGGAGCTGGAGGTTCCATGTTGACAGGGGGTCCGACGGCCTCGTTGGCGGGATCTCCACGGTCCTCGGCGCGGCGCTACTCGGGCAGAGCGACGTGCGACTGTCCGAACTGTCAAGAGGTGGAACGCCTGGGTCCAGCTGGCGTCAGTCTCCGCAGAAAAGGGCTACACAGCTGTCACATTCCCGGCTGTGGGAAAGTGTACGGCAAAACGTCGCACCTCAAGGCTCATTTGAGGTGGCACACCGGAGAAAGGCCGTTTGTGTGTAACTGGTTGTTCTGTGGGAAGAGGTTCACGCGCTCCGACGAGCTCCAGCGACATTTACGCACGCACACCGGCGAGAAGCGCTTCGCTTGTCCCGTGTGTAACAAGAGGTTCATGCGGAGCGACCACCTCAGTAAACATGTCAAAACGCACAGTGCCGGAGGCTCGTCAGGGTCGGGGTCTGGGGCGAGTGGAGGAAAACGAGGGAGTGACACCGACAGCGAGCACAGTGTGCCCGGTAGCCCCTCGTGCCACTCACCTGACCCGTTGCAACCTCCCGAGTCTGTCCCGACGACGGGCATGAACGGCCGTGCAAACTCCCTCGATTAATCCCGTTCAAAATGCACGTACACGAATCTCGAATGGACTAGAAACTTACCTGACGGTTCACAAAAAGGTTGTGCTGTTCGTTCGGTAACACTTTATAAAAACTTTCAATAATTCCGATTGTTAACAAACACTATCAGATCGCTAGTTAACGCACATTCAATTCTGAATATCCTATGTGAAACAATATAAACCAAAGTTTCATCTCTTTTGAGCTATTCGAGTGTACATTAACTAATTTTCTGTTAAGCTTAATACTATTTGTTAAGTTAAAAGTGAAAGTTATTATAAAGTGTCACCTGGTGAAATAACCGTGTGGCCATTTCACTTGGATGTTGTAAAGTGATTCAATTTACGATTAAAATGTAATTTACAATGAAGTAAGCCTGTTTTGGTCTGCACAGATTCTGTGACATGAATTTGGTAAAGTAAGGGGATATTAAAAAGGACATAATCTAATATGTGCGTTCTGATGGGTATTTGTCGAATAGTCTTATTTTACTTACTGTTGTTATGAAACCGAAAAATGTAATTTACCCATCAGTGAAGTGGCCTGTCATTGCTAACTTTTTGTTTTTCTCAAAACCAAACTGTGGCACTTTATTCATGAACACTACTAAAATCCAATTTCGTAAGGATAAATTGCCGTAGTGTTGAATAGACTTCGTTTTGTCATTTACAAACTCATTTCTTTAATATTCGAAAAGATAGTCTATATATCGCACATTGGTCTTTGTCGAAACTACAGACTACAAATCCTAAGTTTGTATGAAATGTACTTATTTCTTGTTGCTGCAAAAGAATGTAAATATTGAAAATAAAATAGAATAGACTAGAAGGTTATTCCACACTGATGTAAAACTTGGGTATGTATTTGTTCAAGACGCAAATTTTGAATAGTGTTTTTAGTTGCATATATTGATTCTAGTAAATATCCAAAACTGTACGGCAGTGTTTTTTTGTGAAGAAAAACCTCATATTTATCCACGAGTTGGACTTGATTTTTTGGGAGGTCTGTCATAGACGCACTTTGAAATGATTTGTAAGATTTTAAATTCAGAATTCAGTGTTTAATCACGTTTTCTAATTTATGTAAGCATGCACATGTAAGGTGAGCGTTTATTTCACATCGTTTATTTGAGAAAATTGGCTTTCTAATTTAAGCCACTCAATAAAGTCAACATGGATTCAGCCACAGTGAACGGTTTGCCGTTGATATTACTGCAATGTCCAATTTCTATAAAATAAAATGTGCTCTAGAGTGCAGGACCTGTTATGCCATTTCAATACCAATTGTAAAAAATAAAAATGTGTTCAACTGTTAAATCTGCAGTTGTTGTGAAACCCACGAAAAGCAGCTTTAGTAAATTAACTGTTTGCTACAATTATAACACATATATATTTTTAGAGTTGTACACATTCTCTAAGTAGCTAAGATTCCAGACAATAAATGTAAACTTCTGAGAACATTTTATATGAGATAAAAAAAGAACTGTAACTTGAATTAAAAAACTGTGACTATAAATTTAGGTTTTTGTTAGTTTATGAAAGATAGCTATACTTTTGCAGTCACTTTAAAATAATATCTATAAATCTCAGAGCACAGCAACCAAATAACACAAACTGTTACGTCTTCAGTAGCCACGAAAACCATTCATGTTCAAGGATTTCAGTGTTTTTCCGAGTGTGTCTTTTGAAAATAAACATATGAAGAATATTACCAGCGCATAATTGTGTAAAGTTGGATACATGCGAGAAAAAAAAGAATTAATAAAAATGTACCGCCACAGCATGTGACCATACAAACAAAATTACATGCACAAAAGGTTAAAATATGCTAGTCCAGGGAAGAGTTTGGGAACTGAAATTTACTTAAAACGAGTTAGCTTTACTTTAAATAAAAAGTTTAATTTAAACATGCAGGAACGACAGCAAAGAATGATGGATAATTTATTTAATAAAAATCGAAAAAACCTCTTAATAATAAACAATGCATAATATTAACAGGAATAATACAAGAATAATATCAGTTACTGTTCGAAAGACAATAAAGTTCAAGCCAGTGCAGAAAAAAAGGTCCAACATGTTGGAGGCTCAAATCACGAGCACATTGCGCCCCCATGCGCCGATCTCATATAAACAAAACCAATATTCACATTCAAAGGGTTAATGCCATTGTACAAACGCATACAATCTTCAAAACATTTGGTAAAAGTGCTGCAATTACCTGTTAAAGCAGATACGTACTGGTGGGAAAAAGTATCAAGGGATTTTTACTGTACATTATTGTATGTACAATAAAATATCACGACTATAATATTTACAATGCACTGTATGACATACAATATTTGTATATAAAAACTGAGAAAAATAAATCTATAGATATCAGATATATTTTCATTTTTAGATAAGAATAGTATCTTTCATTGTAACAAAATAACTAAATAACAATTATCCCACTTTTTTGTTTGTTTGTGTCTAGAGTCAGAATATTTAAATGCTTCTTAGCTTATCAACTGTAAGCTTTTACATTCAAAGTCATTTAATCCTAAAACAAACTGAATATTTAGTGACAGAGGAGATTCCAATTGAATTTAAGATTAACTGCACCATTTAATCATTTAACTTTGCCCTTCATTTGAGATATACAACCACTAGAATAAATCAAAGGGAGATTAAGTTATTGTGCAGACACTTGTGCATTCACTAGAGCATAGTAGGCCCCTTGTTTGGCTATGAGTTGAGCATGCGTTCCCTGCTCAGTCACCTTGCCGTTCTGAACAACCACGATGATGTCAGCATTATAAATAGTGGACAGGCGATGGGCAATGACGATACATGTGCGGCCATGCCGAGCGTCATCAAGGGCCTTCTGCACAATCTGTGTAACAGGAAAGAAAGAAGTGGCCAAAACTTTAAACTAGCGCTAAATGGATATTTAAAGCAACACTTTATGAATGAAATCTCTTGACTTGAGTCTTAGGTTTGATCTTTTTGTTTCCTTTTCGAAATGTACTGCGACATTCAAACTCAGGGAGTATGTAGAGTGTAAATCTACGATTTTAAAGGTATTCCCTAAAACCAGCAGGATGGCAGGCACACAAGTTCAAACTATCAAAAAAGTGCCACCTGCTGGTTGAAGGCAGAAATGCATACAGTCCATTCAGTACCAAAAAAGAAACAGCTTTAATATACTGTATAAAATGAACTTTACTAATGAAATACTTAGAAATAGTTTTGAAAATATGTGTAAGAGCCTGTACAAACCTTCTCGCTCTCTGTGTCGAGTGCAGACGTGGCCTCGTCCAGCAGCAGAAGTTTGGGATTGCGGACCAGAGCTCGAGCGATGGCTATCCTTTGCTTCTGTCCTCCAGACAGCTGAGCGCCTTTATCTCCAACTCGAGTGTTGTATTTCTGAAAGGATATTATATATGTATATAGATCATGAAATCAGACAGTTTTTATTGGCAGCTTAGAGCATATAATATAATATAATATAATATAATATAATATAATATAATATAATATACTGTTCAGAAGTCTGGAGGGAATTTTTATTTGAAAGAAATTAATACTTTTATTCAAATTGATCACATTTGATTGAAATTGATCAAAAGTGTAGACATTACTAATATCATAAATTGTATTTAAATAAATGCTTTTCTTTTGAACACTGGTTATTTTACTATCATCAAGGCACTATTATAATTTTAAGCAACATTTTGAATTCGTTTTTTTATTTTGTTTTAATTTTAATTTTAATTAAAGTTTTAGTCATGTGTCTGTCATTTTTATTCGATTTTTATTATATGTCTATATAGTTTTCATTCATTTTTATTTCAGTTGTACTTATTTTAGTACGTAAAGATAAACTAAATGAAAATTAGAAATTTTACGGCAATTAGCTGAAATAAAATAAATTAAAAGTTTTTTTTTAAAAATATATTTGTATCGTATTTCAGTTGTTTCAATTTTATTTCAAATAACAAAAAATGTTTTCTGGTTTTTGGTAACTATAACAACCCTGTTGAATATTATATTTAATAAAGAATCCTGAAGAAAAAATCTTCAACAAAAATACAACTGTTTTCAACATTGACAATATTAAGAAATGTTTCTTGAGCAGCAAATCAGCATATTAGAATGATTTCTGAAGGATCATGTGAGACTGAAGACTGGAGCATGCCTTCACATAAATAAATAACATTTTAAGATAGTAATAAGTGTAATGATATTTCAAAATATGTTTTTGTTTTAGATTGTTTTAAGTAGTGAACTTGCTTGTAAAGCAAAATGCACAAACACACACATTAACAGAGACATCATGCATACCTCTGGAAGGCCAAGGATGAAATGATGAATGTTGGCCTTCTTCGCAGCTTCCTCGATCTCCTCCTGGCTGACGTCGCGGCTGTTGTCTCCATACTGAATGTTCTCAGCAATGGTACAATCAAACAGGATGGGCTCCTGAGACACCAGCCCCATCTGCGTGCGCAGCCATGCCAAGTTCATACTTCTGCTGTCGTTCCCATCTACAAACTGCGCGACAAGCAAAACCCAGACAGAATGTGAGGCATAAATTGATCCCTTGAGCCAAAATAATGGCTTAGACCTCTAGGCACACCAAACCACCTGATGAACTCACCACTTGGCCTGCCGCAGGGTCGTAGAAACGCTCCAGAAGCTGAATGGTGGTGCTCTTGCCACAACCACTGCTGCCCACCAGGGCCAGGGTCTGGCCCTGACACACGGACACATTCAGGCCCTGCAGGACTTTCACATTCTGACGCGTTGGATAGCAGAAATGCACATCTCGGAATTCAATATTCCCTGAAAAGTTTGTCTGAAAAAAAAAAGATTAGATACACTGTAAAAAATGACCGTGAATTTATCGGTAAAAGACTGTAAAAATGCTACAGTAAAAGCCTGTTAAATGGTTAACGGTAAATTCCCCTACTATATACAGTGAAAAACTGTATTGGACATTACATGTATTGGACATAAATTTTACGGTAGTATACCGTGTTTGGAAGTGAAAAATACCGTATAATTTACTGTGAATAACCATAAATTGACATTTCCAGAATTCCCTGCGTTACATTTCAAATTTGATGTTTTTTTGTTGAAATAACTATGTTTCTTCTTAGTTTTTTCTTATCAGTTTTGTATATTAGGGTTGTGTGTTACACCTAATGTTGTTAAATGAATGTTTATTGCATTATTTCAGTTTCATGTGTGTTACCATGATGGTGTTTAGCGTTTGTGTGAATGACACTGTGCACCTTCTATATATGTTATTATTTAAAAGCTGCTTGTGTTGGGCTTTGGTTCATCATGTGACTTTCTCATCACCACCTGCATTTGGTGGTTATCAGTGTATTACAAAAATACAAAACAGATTTCAGTACTTCAATAGGTTGGTATATTAACATTATATCAAATGAAATTACGGTATTTAACTGTAAATTTAAGTTAAAACCGTAAAACCTAAAACGTTGCTACCGTATTTTTTACGGTAAATTTTTTTTTACGGTGTATGCATGTATTATATGTTGTGCTTTTTGGTGACCACTTCTAACCGTTTGAGTATTTCATACTTACTGGTCGGTGTCCAGACTCGTCATAGATATCGATGTTTGGCTTCTTTTCTAGCAGCAGTAAGATCCTCCCCGCTGCGGCTTTGGCTTTGGCAAAGTCAGGGGCGAATGATGAGGACTGACCAATGTTCATTGCAGCAAAGACGATCACAGAAAACACCCTGTGGAAGACGAACCAACACATCAATGTAGCAAAGAGTGTGCTTGATATTCAAATATCACATACATATAAAGTCTTTATAAAAACTGTACTTACAGGAAAACATTTTCATATTCTGTGTAGCAGCGTGCAATAAGCCAGGCTCCGAAGCGGAAGATTGCGGCATTGACCAGGTAAGGAATGGCTTGGGCAAGAGCAAAGGTGATTCCGTAGATGGGTGCTTTACACAAACTAGATCTGAAACATATCACGTATTGCCGTTTGTAAGATTTGGCTGAATCAGATTTGGCATTAGCTGAGCACTTTTGTTGAGCCACAGATAAAATTAGCCGTTTGCAGTTTCTGAGATTTTAGAAGTTTTAGTGCTTAGGACCTTCAAATATTAAATGATTCCCGTGTTATTTTAGTATTATTTATTATACAACTATTATAGTTGGTATTCATTTTTTATTTTTAGATATTCCGTTTTCATTTTAATAATTCTGTTTTTTTTTTTTTCATATACATTTCTGTTTAGCTTTAGTGCTTCATTTCAATTAATTAAGCTAACAATAACAGCACTGCTTGTGAGGGACACCTATCCTATCCTAAAAAAAAAAGAAAGGTTGTTATATATATTCATGTACAAAAATTTATTTATAATGCATGAGAAAAAAAGTGTTTAAAATATTTTCTAAATTAAGTAATAATACTGTCACTGTACTAAAGTCAAAAATTATTATTCAAAGTTTATTTATTATTATAAACAAATTATTATTCAAAGTTTTTGAACAGTAAGATTTTTTTATGTTTTTTAAAGAATTCTTTTTTGCTCACCAAGCCTGCATTTAGTTGATCCAAAATACAGCAAAAGCAGTAATATTGTGAAACATTTTTTATTTTATTTAAAATAACTGCTTTCTATACTATATATTTTAAAATGTAATTTATTCCTTTGATCAAAGCTACATTTTCAGCATCATTACTTCAGTGTTCCGTGCCACATGGTCCTTCAGAAATCATTCTAATATGCTGATTTGCTGCTCAAGAATTTTTTTTAAATTATTATTATTATCAATATTTAAAACAGTTGAGTAAATTTTTTCCCAGGATTCTTTGATGAATAGAAAGATCCAAAGATCAGCATTTATCTGAAATAAAAAGCTTATGTAATATTCAAAGGCTTGGAGTCATCTTTTATTTTTTTCAGGGGGTTACAGAAATTAATACTTTTATTTTGCAAGGAAAATTAAATTGACCAAAAGTGATGATAAAGACATTTCTAATATTACAAACGATTTCTATTTCAGATAAATGCTGTTCTTCTGAACTTTCTATTCACCAAAGAAACCTGAAAAAAAATCTACTCAGCTGTTTTCAACATAATAATAATAATAAATGTTTTTTGAGCAGCAAATCAGAATATTAGAGTGATTTCTGAAGGATCATGTAGGAGTAATGGAGTAATGATGCAAAAAATTTTGCTTTGAAATCACAGAAATAAATTACATTTTAAAATATATTCAGATACTAAGCAGTTATTTTAAATAGTAAAACATATTTCACAACATTACTGTTTTTGCTGTATTTTGGATCAAATAAATGCAGGTTTGATGAGCAGAAGAGAATTCTTTAAAAAACGTAAAAAATCTTACTGTTCAGAAACATTTGACTGGTAGTGTATTTTTAAATAGAAAAATGTAAATATTAAAAAATATATATTTAATTAATTATTATTAAATATAATATTAAATATATATACTTCTTTTAAACACACCATTACAGTAATGTTAAAGTTATAAAAGAGAAACATTTTCAATTTAATGCTTTTAACACAAATATAATTCCAAAGCTGTTAAAAATTAAACAAAATATTTTAGGTTAACTTTGACAGCCCCTAAAGTACATTTTGTGAACTCTTTTTCTTTTGTCTTCTTCTTCAAATTTTCCATGGGGCCCTTAGCACCACCTTGTGGTCCCCGGACCCCAGTTTGAAAACCCCTGTATTAAAATGTTTAGTGTTAAAAATGTGATTTTACTGGTATGGCTTGCTCAGGCTGTCAATAAACTTGTGGAAGAAGACGTCTTCGCGGGTTAATGCAACAACCGTTCTGAAGTTCTCAACAGTTTCTGTGGATATCTGTGGAGACGAGTTACCAGTCAGTTATACATAATCCTTTAATGCATATATTAAATCACATAAATTGAACAAAACAAAACCAAAACAAAGGGTCAATGACCAGTATACTGCACCTTGCCAGACATCTCCAGTGCACTCTGATCTTTGGATGCATGTCCTGACATGGCTCTCATCTGGATGAAATTAGCCCCCGTGAGGAAGGGGACACAGGCAAGGATAAGCAAGGTGAGCTGCCAGCTATGGATGAAGGCCACAATGACAGCGATGCCAAGTGCACAGATAGTGTTTGTGGCTAGACCTAATCTGGATCCTGCTGCCTAGAGATGAGAAGAAGAGAGAAGAAAAAAGTCACTACCCAACTAAGCTACATTATCAATAAATATAATATTTAAATACACTCCCGTTCAAAAGTTTGGTGTGAGTAAGATTTTTTAATCTGCAAAGACGCTTTAAATTGATCAAAAGTGACAGTAAAGACATTTAGAATATTACAAAAGATTTCTATTTTAAATAAATAATGTCAAAGAATCCTGAAAAATGTATCATGGTTTTCACAAAAATATTAAGCAGCACAAAGCCATTGCATGAAATAAAATAAAAAGATGGAAGTTGGAATATAAAGATAGAGTTATATATATAACTATATATATTATATATATATAAAAAAAAATCAGAATAAAAATGACAAAAATACATATAAATAGTATTTCAAATATACTTAAATAACACTTATTCAAATATTAACATTGATAACAATAAATATTTCTTAAGCAGCTAATTAGCATATTAGAATGATTTCTGAAGGAACATGTCAAATTAAGACGGGAGTGATGGTGCTGAAAAATCAGCTTTGCCATTACAGGACTAAATTACATTTTAAAATGTATTCAAACTGAAGATAATTATTTTACAATATTACAGTTGTACTGTATTTTTGATCAAATAAATTGGTGAGCATAAGAGACTTAAAAAAAAAAATTATCAACCCCTAACGTTTGAATGGTCGTGTACCTGTGAATTCAAAACTATAATAAAAGCTGTAGTCATATGGATTAGCTCTCACATAAATACGACTGAGAAACAGATTCAGCCAGGCCTATAACGGTTTAAAGAGATGGATGTAATGAACCAGAGCCAAAAACACAGGCTGTTTCCACAGTGAAAACTTAATTACTGGTTCTGATGGCAAATCACTGTGTTCCACTCACCCCTTTAACCAGAGACGCATCTGTGGCTAATTTAGTGGTCAGGACTCCCACTGCATTGTTGTTGTCATCAAACCAAGCAATCTCCTGTTGAGAGAAACAGGCTTGAGGATGAAGCACGCATTTCAATAGCTATTTCTTTGTTCCAGATTAGTTCTCAACTGCATATAGTAATGGAACAAGAGATGCGGGAAATGTGCCATACCTGTCTGATCATGGCATTGAAAGTCTGACGTCTCAACCTCATGGTTAGCAGCTCCCCAGATTTACCAAACATGAAGCCCTACAGGACAGAGCAACAGATGTGGAAATTACGTACAGCAACTATACAGTACGTACACCATATATTCAACAAATATATTAAGTAGAACAACTGTTTTCAACACTGATAATAAAAATGTTTTCTTTAGCACCAAATCAGCTTTTTAGAATGATTTCTGAAGACTGGAGTATTGATGCTGAAAATTCAGTTATGTCATCACAGGAATAAATTGCATATTGAAGTATTTCATCGTAATTCAAACATAAAAAAATTTATTTTAAATTTAAATGTATTTATAAATGTTTGTAATTATTTTATTTTATATTACAAGAATACTGTACTGTTTTACTGTATTTTTACTCAAATAAATGCAGCATTGATGGACATAAGAGGACATAACTTAAAAAAAATTATCTTACCAAACTCAAAATGTTGAACGGTGTATGTATAAATATAGTTTATTTATAAACTAGATACTAGTTTTATTATATATATATATATATATATAATACAGTGAGTAAAATAAGTATTGAACACATCACCATTTTTCTCAGTAAATATATTTCTAAAGGTGCTGTTGACATGAAATTTTCACCAGATGTCGGTAACAACCCAAGTAATCCATACATACAAAGAAAACTAAACAAATAAGTTCAGAAATCAAGTTCTGTGTAATAAAGTGGAATGTCACAGGGAAAAAGCATTGAACTCCTGAAGAAAGGGAAGTGCAAAAAGGCATGGAAAGCCAAGACACCACCAGAAATCTATCAGTAATTAGAAAGCAATCCTGCCCCTAGTCCGTGGAAATTAATATTAGCTGGTTCAGTCCCAACAGATGGCCTATAAAAAGGTGTCTCATGTCTCAAAGGTGTTCATCTCTCTAACCCAAAATAGTAGCAAACGCTAGTAATAATGCAACATAAGCTTCGTTTGCATTACCCTTCAAATTGCGCAAATTGAAATTGCGAACTGAACGTATACGTCTCCTTCGACTAAAAATAATGGCTATATAGTGCGATGGCTGCGATATATGCAAACCTACCTACTTCTGTCGCCATGACTTATTGCGAGAGGTAAAAATTTAATTTTAGTGGCATAAAATCGGGGAATGGAAACACTGCCATTTCGCAATAGTTTTTTTTAATGAACATTTATAAAATATCACAAAGATTTGCGCAAATCTGTAATGGAAATGCACATAGACTCACCTGGAAGAAATATGTGACAAAGGCCACTGCTCCCGTTAGTAGAAAGAAAAGTGAGAACATCATGGTCTTCTGTCGCTTTACATCAGGGTCAACCTCTGCAAACACCTAGAAACAGATGAGATTCTATTGAACCGAACATTCTGATGAAATCATTCTAAATGCTATGTGCTTAGCGGACTAGTGTAAAATCCAATCCACATTTTTAAATGAATTATTTTGAAACTATCATGAGGAGATGAGCTACACAATAGAGATTTTTGTTCAGAGATGTGCAAACACAGACAAAGGACACTCACTCCAATGATTTTGGCAAACAGAATGGCCACACAGGGATAAACAGCTCCACCCACAAGGCTGGCCAGCGTGCCCACCAGCAGGTACGGCCATTCTGGCTTGTTCAGAGCCAGAATTTTAGTGAAAGGTATTTCTGGAGCTTTTTCTTTTTCCTACAAGAGAATTTTGAAAAGAACAAGATCCAATTACTCCATTTAAGAATCACCAGTGTGATTCACTCTGTAGCATCAAAGAAGCGGAGTGCATGTACCTTTTTGTCTTGTTTGGATTTCTTGCTCTTCTTCTTTGAGGACTTCTTTCTGGAGGAACGTCTCTCACTGCCACGTCTTAAGCTTCTTCTAAAGGTTCCGCTCTCCATTTGCATTTCCATTCCTCCCTCAGGAGTTTCTGTTTCAGAAGATTCCTCACCGGTTTCTCCCTCAGAATCATCCTGAGTATCATCTTCATTGGCATCAAGATCATCATCATTTGGTCTCCCAGAGGTCTGTTAATGTAAATGAGTAGAAAAATAAACAAATAAATAAATAAAAACATTATGCCAAATAACTTCAAATATGGTGGCCTTCATGCGAGAGACCCCCTTCCTAAAGGATACAGGTGTTTTTATATATTTATTTTTTATTAATTTAAGTGTATAAAGTCTCCTTTATACTGAGTGGCAGAAATATTAAGCATGGTAATATTCCATTATAATTGCCTTTTATATTGTAATTTCACAGTACTGCAACCAACACACACATACACACACACACACACACACACACACGCTACTGTTCAAAATTTTGGGGTCAGTAAGATAAAAGATTGATTTCTTTTTCAGTAAAAGATTTCTTTCAAAAAGATTAAATCTTACTGAACCCAACTTTTGAATATATATACAGGTGCATCTCAATAAATTAGAATGTCGTAGAAAAGTTCATTTATTTCAGTAATTCAACTCAAATTGTGAAACTCGTGTATTAAATAAATGCAATGCACATAGACTGAAGTAGTTTAAGTCTTTGGTTCTTTTAATTGTGCTGATTTTGGCCCACATTTAACAAAAACCCACCAATTAACTATCTCAACAAATTAGAATACTTATTAAGACCAATAAAAAAAACATTTTTAGCCTTCTGGAAAGTATGTTCATTTACTGTACATGTACTCAATACTTGGTAGGGGCTCCTTTTGCTTTAATTACTGCCTCAATTCGGCGTGACATGGAGGTGATCAGTTTGTGGCACTACTGAGGTGGTATGGAAAAAAAAAAAAAAAAAAAAAAAAAAAAATATATATATATATATATATATATGCCAATATTTTTTCTACTAACTGTAAGAATAAAGAAATAAGATGTATAAACATTTAGTAATAATAAAACGTTTATTTTCTCTTACTGGAATTACTGTTACAAATAGTGGCTGTCAATGGAATAAAATAAATTTGATTAATTACATGATTCATAGTTTAGAAAGCAAAACAAATGTGTAAGAATATCAAATTTGTTAAATGTGTTAGGTTTGAAAACCCTGATTTAAGGAAACAACAGCATAGAAGTTCATAAAGTCAGTTCTATCTCGCTATTATTACACAGTTGCCATGAAGAGAGACAAACATGTACCTGTTGCATTACGAGAGAATAATACACTCCTTTCTTGGCCATGAGTTCTCTGTGAGTTCCCTGTTCCACCACTTTGCCTTCACTGAAGCCAGCAATTATATCTGCCGAACGAATAGTTGACAGGCGGTGTGCAATCACAATGGTAGTACGTCCTGCTCTGGCCTAAGAAGCAATACACACAATTATTAATCTGCAGTGTTACACATTTGTTGGCTAATACTCTGTTAGCACAACAAAAACTGTAATAAAAGATATCCATAATATGCAAATATAACCTGTTCTATTCCAGTACTCTTGGAAATGCACTGTGTTTTACATTACCTTGTCCAAAGCTGCCTGAACGATGGACTCGCTCTGTGTATCCAGGGCTGATGTGGCCTCATCCAGCAGGAGGATTTTGGGGTTTTTGACGAGAGCTCGAGCAATAGCGATCCTCTGTTTTTGGCCTCCGCTCAGCTGAGCCCCTCTCTCTCCAACCATAGTGTTCAGCTTCTGTCTCAGAACAAAAAAATATTTTTTAAAACATCTAACTCCCTTTCAGACTTAACACAACTAGACTAAAATAAACCGGTGAAGAAATTATTTTCATTCGGACATTTCTAGTAAACTTCACAAACAATTACAAGCAAACAGCAGGTAGACAGCACATAATATAAATGCTGCTTATATATATATATATATATATATATACACACTGTAGTGCAGCTCACATACATAATATCTGCTCAAAATGCAAAAATCTAAACATTTCCAAGTAGGGGTTGACCAATATTAAAATTCTGGCTAATTAACTATTAACTACTAATAAACTATTTCAATAAGCAGATAATTTATTTTATGTTATGGCCGATAACTGTTAAAGGGCCATTATTAAAAAGTCTACTTTGTCTAAATTAAAAACATAGATGAGCTTCTTTTTGCCTTCAATTTTTAGGGGCTGAACTGAGTCAAAACCTTTAATAAAAAAAAGTACAGTACAGTGCTCACATCTGGTAGTTTGGAAATGAAATCGTAGGCATTGGCCTCTTTAATGGCTCGTTCAATGTCTTCATCAGTGGCGTCTTCACGGCCGTAGCGTATGTTCTCAGCGATGGTGGTTCCAAAAAGAACAGGCTCCTGACTCACGATACCCATGTTCTCCCTCAGCCAGCACACATTCAGAGAGCGGATATCATGACCATCCAGAGTCACCTGCAATTGTACATATTTCATAAAATAAAAGCTCTTCTTTCCTGAGACCAGAGTTGGGAAGGTTACTTTGGAAATGTAATAGGTTACAGATTACAAGTTACCCTACTTAAAATGTAATAAGTAGTGTAACTTTTCAATTACTTTATTAAAGTAATGTAACTGATTACATTTGATTACTTTTTGATTACTTTTCAAAATTTCTAACGGTTTCAACTGTTAATCATTTTCAAACTTACAATATGTGATCAACACTGAAAACTGTCAGACTTTCAAAATCCTTCATCACTTGAATTAAGACTATAATATTTTAATTCCTATGACAGGAAACACTGTCTGGAATCTAACAATGCCTTGGAGAAAACAGTTCATCTTAAAAAATGAAGCATAGCTACATAAACCCATAAAGGAAATAAAAGAGTTATCGAATAAGCTTGTTCTAAACTCCTGAAACATTGTTGTTTCATATTTTAGAGCAGTCACTGCAATTTATGAAAGAACTCAATTAAATCTGTATGTAGGAGTGTATGAGAAAAAATCAGATGTAACCCCATTTGCAATCCTTAACATTTTCATAAGTAACTGTAATTTAATTACACATTTTTTCTTAGTAACTGTAACTGATTACAATTACTTTTATTTTGTAATTAAATTACGTAATTCCGTTACATGTAACTAGTTACTCCCCAACACTGCCTGAGACTGACTGAATTCCATCATTTTTTGTGTGACGTGAAGTATTGAAGGAATGCAGCTTTAACTGAGAGGTGAAATGATTCACGGTTGCTCATTAGTCAGTGTTACCTCTCCTGAATCAGGGTCATAGAAGCGCTGCAGAAGCTGAATTGTTGTGCTTTTCCCACAGCCACTGGCTCCAACCAATGCAATGGTCTTTCCATGAGGGATTTTCAGACTCATTCCCTGCAGAATCTGCACAGGGACACATTGAATCAGTCCTCAGTAGGTTACAATTTCTATAGATGCACAATATATCAGTACCATATTGGTTATGAGGCAACGTTACATACTTAAATGACTCACCCTGAAAGGGATAGTTCACCCAATAATGAAAATTCTGTCATTAATTACTCACCCTCGTGTTGTTCCAATCCCGTAAGAACTTTGTTCATCTTCAGAACACAATTTAAGATATTTTTGATGAAATATGAGGGCTCTCTGACCCTCCCATAGACAGCAAGGTAACTACCAACTACTGCGTCACTTTGGACGCGCGTTCACGACAGTATCATGACGCGAGCGTGTGGCGGCGCTGATCCAGTTCCGGCGTAATGACGTCATCACGCCGGATCTGTGTCAGCGCTGGTGCCGCCACACGCTCGCGTCATGGTACTGTCGTGAACGCGCGTCCAAAGTGACGCAGTAGAGACGAAAATGTGGAATAAAGTCGTTATTTTTGTTTTCTTTGCGCAAAAAAGTATTCTCGTAGCTTCGTAACTTTACTGTTGAACCACTGATGTCACACAGACTACTTTGTCGATCATCTTGGTACTTTTCTGGACCTTGAATGTGGTAGTTACCTTGCTGTCTATGGGAGGGTCAGAGAGCCCTCAGATTTCATCAAAAATATCTTAAATTGTGTTCCGAAGTTGAACGGAGGTCTTAGGGGTTTCAAACAACACGAGGGTGAATAATTAATTACAGAATTTTCATTTTTGGGTGAACTAACCCTTTAATTACTCACCTCATGTTGTTCCAAACCCGTAAGACCTTCGTTAATCTTTGGACACAAATTAGGATATTTTTTTATGAAATTCGAGAGCTTTCTGACCCTGCATAGACAGCAACGCAACTGACACGTTCAAGACCCAGAAAGGTAGTAAGGACATCGTTAAAATAATCCATGTGACATCAGTGGTTCAACCTTAATATTATGAAGCTACTTTTTGTGCGCAAAGAAAACAAAAATAACGACTTTATTTAACTATTTTAACAATGTCCTTACTAACTTTCTGGGTCTTGAACATGGTAGTTGCATTGCTGTCTATGCAGGGTCAGAAAGCTCTCGGATTTCATCAAAAAAAAAATCTTGTGTTCTGAAGATGAACAAAGGTCTTACGGGTTTGGAACGACATGAGGGCGAGTAATTAATGACAGAATTTTTATTTTTGGGTGAACTATCCCTTTAAATTTATCAGTATTAGTCAATAATGTATATCTCTATACACATTATTGATGATACTGAGTCTTTTTGTGCATGCCTTTTCCTTTATTTTTACATGTAAATTACCTTTGCCACGCTCTAATGCTCACTTTGAGTTAAATTAATCTTTAAAAGCAATATTTTTTTTATGTAGACAAACACAGTATTTACTGGTTATCATTTTTAAAACTATTAATTATATTTATTTAAAAAATAATTAAAACCAATATAATTTTATTAAGTAATAACTTCAATAAATACAATGGATAGTATCAATAATAAAGTTCCTGACAGGTGGGAAAATGTGCAACTCTACCTTCACATCTTTTCTGGAGGGATAGCTGAAGTGGATGTTCTTGAATTCAATATCTCCTTTCACATGATCTGGTTTGTGACCTTCATTTGAACTGCTGTCAATGGGACGAGGCTGCATCAGGTAACAGGAACAGAAATAAGTCATCCAGAATAACAATACGGGTATAAATATAATAAATATGAACTTCATTATAAAGAATGAAGACAGACTGAAAGTTTGTACCATGTCAATTGTTTTGTAGACCTCATAAGCAGCACCCCGGGCCTTAGCGATGCTCTCCAGGTTTGGAGCTCCCTGACCCAAAGAGAATGAGCCAATCATCACAGAGAAGAAAACCTGCGGTCAAAAGTAACAACGCTGGTGGTCAAGAAACAGCTCCTGCTGTGACTTTATTTAGAAACAGATAAAGCTTTTTTTAAAAGTTTAACAAACTTACAGTGAGGACCTTTCCAATTGAGTAATTCTCTGGCTCGTCCACAGAGAGTTTTGTCCCATACCAAAACGCCAGCGCGTAAGTGCCAAATATAATGAACTGTGTCAAACCCATGGACACATTAGTGGTAATGGCTTTCTTTACCCCAAAATTCTTTGCTTCTATCAAGTTCTTCTCATACCTAGAATACAGAAAATAGTTTGTCACAGAAAACCATTCATCTTTAACGGACACATTCAGAACAGCTTGATCGCATTCTTGACATTTAGAAGAAGGCCCAATCTTATCTCCTCTGTTTAAGTGACAAAACAGTTGTGAACTTATGGTGATGAGTGAAAAGAACAGAATGTTCTCACTTTTCCACTGCTTTTTTCTGTCCATTAAATGCCACAACAGTCCTGATAGCGACTAGAATCTCTTCAGCTACTGCTCCTGCTTTAGCATATGCTGAAAGCTCCTTACTGGTCAGAGTAGCAAGAATCTATAGGCGACAAAAAGGGAAGATATTTACAAATACAAGTGTGAAATTACTGTGGATAAAAAAATTATACTCTGAACCCCATATGGATTTACACAGTTTGAGAAAGTCAAAAAGTGTTACTTTGTGCCCCGCTCTCCCTATTTGACAAGGACTTATGTTTCAACCACATGAATTTACGTTTAGATGGATGTTTCTTTATCGTACTATTAGATATACCTGTCAGATTAGCGGTATGCCCACTCAACACAAAGCTGTCAGTCATTTCTCCGAAAACCACGCACATGAGAGGCAAGGCAACGCCATGTGCACCTGCACACAGCAGGCCAATCAGCATAAGCAGCACCTCCGAGCAGGTGGCATAACGAAACTGCGTCACAACAAACATGTGAGTCAATCACATGACTGCTGTCCTCAGGGCTTATCACTGCATGTTATATCACTGCTTATCAACGCTGCGAAAGAATTGTGTGATGTTTGAAGAGATGCGCACTTACCAGCTGAAAAAACCCAACTGTTTTCACTGGCTCTTTCTTCTTTTTTGACTTTTTTTCCTTTTTGCTATTGAAACAAGAAATAGTCCATTTAAGGTTTCAGATTTATTTATTTATAATTAAGGGACACTATTTTAAATCTTTAATTTAAAATAAAATATTTTTTAAATAAAATAATTTTCAGGGTTTCAGTTTGTTTGTTTTTTTACCTTTATGAAGGCATATTAAGGGGCATATAAAAGATCAATTTATGTCATTATGATTATCCATTTATGTAAAATACTTGAATTGAACTTGAAAAACTGTATGAATTAATTGATACATTTACATTTAGTCATTTAGCAGACGCTTTTATTCAAAGTGACTTACAAATGAGGACAATAAAAGCAATCAAAATCAACAAAAGAGCAATGATATGCAAGTGTTATAACAAGTCTCACTTAATGCAGTACTCCTGGCAAGGTTTTTTTTTTAAATTATATAATAAATCAAAAGAAAATAGAATAGAAAAATAGAGCAAGCTAGTGTTAGAGGCCTTTTTTGCTTTTGTTAAAATACATTTTTTATTAAAAAAAATTTAGTTTTTTTTTTTTTTTTAAAGAAAAGCAGTTAGTAAATAAATAGAGTGCAAGTCTGAAAGGGGCAAGTTTTTTTTTAAAGAATAGAATTTGAATAGAGAGTGCTAGAGTTAGAGGGTCAAATAAAGATTGATACAGTCACTATGGTGTCTAAATCCATAGCAAAAATAGAACAGAATATTATAAATATATATGGCATAAAATATATTTTATATATGGCATACAAATAGTTTTAATTAAGTAATTGTCATTGATGTTATAACCAAAATAAATTATTACAATATTATTTTACTATTTAATGTATTTAATTCAATTCAACTGTTTTTGAATATTGCTTTTCACAATATAGTTCCAAAGTGGTTATCCAGAGAATACTGAAAAACAAAAAAAACAAAAAACGAGCATGCTGGTGGCAATGCCTAAAAAGAAATAATAATATTTTAAATTGTTTACATTTGTAAATACTAAGCAACAGTAACAAATATTTGTGTCACAAAATTTAAATTCTGTTACAAATTCATTAAAAATAAATGTATTGTTATTTTAGTTAATTTTCCATTAAAACTATGGCTCTCAAAAAACATTAAATGAAAAAGAAATAATAAAAAAATAATAAATATTATTTTATATTATAATAAAATGTATTAATATAAAATAACCAATGTCAAATAATAACAATAAATGTCGAATTAAGATTTTAACAAAAGTTTGTTTGTTTGTTTTTCCCCCTAAAATTGTACATCGACTGTCTAACAGTCCCTTGCAGATCCCTGGGGGTCCCCGGTTTGAAACCCCTGTATTAGATTATCAGTTAAAAACACTAGAGGTGTACTGATGAACATTTTAAAAATCTAGAGAATTCTGAAAACTTTCTGGGGAATTTTTGCCCCCAGCTCTGGTTCATTTCTGACTGAATGTAAATAGACACATTTATTTATATTACCAATGAATCTACTTACAAACGACAAGACTCACCTAAAACAATCTCATACAAATCAGCCACATCCAAAACTACAAAAACTCTGCTTTTTGGTCACATTTACCCGTTGCCCTTTGATTTCCCAGAGGACTCCTTCGGTGGCTCCTCTGGTTTGTCTTCCTGAGGTTTCTCATCCTGGGTGTAAGCTAGGTTAACAAAGCCCTCGGGGATCACCTCTGCACAAAAGAGGTTTATGCTTACTTAATGAACAGGTGGCGTAAGTCTAAGGTGTCTGTCAAATATAAATAATTAACTCTAAATGACGCAGCATTTTACAAATTACACAAATCATATAGATATACATATATTTAGAATTGCCATTTCATGAAATGACTTCTACTCAAACTATACCAATCTAATTTTTATTTTAGACTTGCCATTGTGTACTATGAATATTGTTGGCTGCTAGTCATTTTGGGAAGAAAAATGAATGAATGAATGAATGAATGAATGTAAAATGTAAATGAATATATAGAACACACCTTGCAAGTAAGGAGGAGGGTCTGTCGATGGAACGCTCGGCTCTTCTTTCATTGTGATAGCACAGTGTTTGTGTTGCTAGATAAAACATTCAATTAACTAAAAAACACACAAATAAAACAGTCGCTGTAAGCAATGCTGGTTCAAAAGGATGTACGCATTTAAAAAGGTTTTGCATTCTGATGATACCTTTTTTTTTTTTTTATCTGCATTTTTAAGAAAACAATCAATGTAATGGTGATTTAAAAGGAAACCAAGACACTCATCTGAAGAACTTACAGAGTAAATGTAACATGTTGAACATTTTAAATCTCTAGAGAACCTTAAAGGTAGGCCTAACTCAAGAAGCCCATATAGCTTTAACTAAACAAATAAATAAATAATATTTATGGTAATGTAAACAATGGCTTTCGAAATTTTTTATTTGAATAAATGCTCAGAGGAGATGAAAAAATGGTATTGCTGCAATGGACAGATTTATAACTGGAAAACATATTGCTGCATTCATATTTTCTTATAAATACAGGACCTTTAACTACTCATAAAGAGATGTTTTACATATATGCTTTTACTGTCATTATCTAGCATGTTGGGTGTTATTATTACATAAGTTCATCTCTGAGTTTAAATTCATTCAACCCGCATACATGTTACCTAACCGGTTACAACATAAACGGAAGTGTATTAGCCTACAAGTGAAATATGATATGGCCTAATCGGAAACGCATACAATAAAATAATTTTAGCTTTAAAAAAGTAGTTATTTTAATTTTAAAAACTCTGTCCCCCATATTCACATTTGTAAGTAAAAAATATATAATTGTAATGGTCTGTGATAGCTGTTTACCAGAAAGTCCAGACTAAATGAAACCGTTTTCTATAGCATTTGCAATTTAATATGCAAATAAATTTTTTTTATTCCGGCTTACCCCATGTGGTGATCACAAAAGCTCCAATCGGACAGACAATATCTAGATACAGCAGGCTGAGACTCTCCTTTTGTTACATGATGTTTTATAGCGCGTTGTGATACCTGGACACGCCCCTTCCTGAGTCAATACTGCACAAAAGATGTAGGCGTGCAAAGGAGAAAAACTGTGACTTTTGCCCTTATAGCGGTAAACTCTGGGTTAAATGAGGTTATATGAAAAAATGAAAGATGAACTGATAAGAAGGCGCGAATTTTGTTCCTCCTAAGAGTTTAACATAGGTGTGCATTAAAATCTTAATAGGGTATTTAGGAGTTACCTTCAAGGCTTTCTGTTATGGAGCGCTTTCGCCTCCATCAGTGTTCTGATTAAAGGGGACGCTCTATTTTTTCGACGTAAAAATACTTCCTATCAAACTTTAATATGTGGAAATAACTAGGTCAAATAAGGAAGATATGGGATAATTAAACGCTATGACTCAGCGTTTTCAAGTAACTAATTGCTCTGCTTTTTTGAGCATCCTGACAGCCTCCAATGGCGTGAGTTTGGGGGCGGGGTTATCTGTTTGCTCGACCAATGGAGGAGGAGGGATGTGTTCGAGAAACCTGTTTGAATACTGTCAAATTCTTGCAATTCTGTTTGATGAGGCTAGTGACAAATGACTTTGTGTGTTGGTGAAATGTTCATCAATGTCGTATTTACAAAACTTTGACTTTAATGAAACAAGACTAGATTTTAAGTTGTCTTAGTCAAATAATTTGGCATTACATCAACAACATTCTAAACCAGATTCTGAACATTCAATTGAGAATTTCCCTTGCTAAAAGTCTGGTGACAGTATCAGCAGTACAGTAGTACTTTGATTTATACCATGGTGCATTTACAAAAACATGGTAGTATTTTTATTTATTATAGCATTTTTATTTAAGATTTTAAAACAAACCCAAACTTTCGATATGCAGCAATTGCTTTTATTTAATAAATAACATATATCATCTTTACATATACCATAATCAGTGTTGGGGAGTAACTAGTTACATGTAACGGCGTTACGTAATTTAATTACAAAATAAATGTAACTGTAATCAGTTACAGTTACTAAGAAAAAATTATGAAAATGTTAACGATTACAAAGGGGATTACATTTGAATATTTACACACATCCACATACAGATTTAATTGATTTCTTTCCCAAATTGCTCTGACTACTCTAAAATATGAGACATAGGGCCCTATGATTTCCGCGATGCGGAAAACACGGACTGGTTGGAACTTCTATAACGCAGAATGTCACGGAATATGTAACATTTGGATGAATATATCAAAAGTAGGTCAGTACACTTTAATCAAAACGCGATATGGACTAGGGTCTGTAAATATTCAGCAGCAAAACGACAATATATGAATCCTGCACGTTCTGCGTGTCTCTGTGGAAATCAGCGGACTGGTCATCGGGAGAACCGGGATAATTCCCGGTGGCCTGGCAGCTGATTTTGCCCGCTTTTTTAATATTATTGTTATTATATAATTGCCTGCCGAATGTACTAAAGCGATTGTTTCCGAATTCGACATTCGATAATAAATCTCTAATAAATCATGAATCAGTTAGTCGTGATTGGGAATGCACTTCGGCTCGCGCCTCCGCCAAACGGTTTAGATCAGAGTAATCAATGCAAGAGATTCGAGTGGACTGTATAAGCGCACAGGTGGAGCAGAGAAGCTAAATTACTAAATTAGTTCAGGATTTCAAGTGCAGGTCAGTTTCATCTGTAAATATGCTATTGTAGCTTTGCCTTTGTTTAAGCAGTAGCAGCCCATTGCTCATCAATCATCACTCAAAATACTGTATACTAAAGGACATCATTATTATCTATTGTAATGTTACAGTAGTAATTTAGCAGACAAATAATCATATCGTTTATAATAGGGTTAGGGGGAGCTAGGGCAGACAACAGCACAACCCTTATGGAAATTAACAATGATTTCACCTAACCATGGTAACCACAAATTATTAACCATGGCTTTGGGCTACACTAACCATAGTTTAACCATGGAATTTGAAGTAAAAATAAAATCCAATGGTAATCCATTTGCCAAAAAAAAAAAAAAAAAACCTTAGTTGGTTACTGTACTTAAAAAAAAAAAAAAATCCAAAGCATTGTTAGATGCAGTGTTTCCTGTAGTTATGCAAAGATTTGGTTCCAAAAACAATATCAGTAAACTATTTCTTACGATTTTAAATCTGCATTGAACTTCAGATCAATCTCAAAATAAAAGGCGGTACTAAAGTCTGATTTTGTGGTGGATGTGTTCAAATTTGATCATCTTAATTCAAGTGATGAAGGATTTTGAAAGTCTGACAGTATCAGTGTCGAGCACTACTGTAAGCTTAACCCTGCATGGTGTAAATGTTTGAAAATGATTAACAGTTGAAAGCATTCATTAGAAATTTAGAAAAGTAATCAAAAGTAATCTTTACTTTAATAAAGTAATTGAAAAAGCTACACTACTATTCAATTTTAAATAGGGTAACTTGTAATCTGTAACCTATTACATTTCCAAAGTAACCTTCCCAACACTGACCATAATTCATACAATATTGTCATTCTTCTCAGTTTGCATTAACAACATTTCTGAGAGCAAACCTAAGACAATGTCTACAGAAAGTTGTTTTAAGAGTTGTCTTTGGAGCTGCATCGACCTCTAACACATTAACAACAAACATGCGGGCATACCCAGTCTTAGCGTGACTCTGTCCATATTTTGGCGCCACATGCAAACCAGTCTTTCTATTTATGTAACTGTGGTTTTATGAATGCACTCAGTTGCACTTGTGAACATTAGTACAGGATCTGAGAGATAATGGGCATATTTGTCTGATGGCAGCCTCACAGGTCAATCAATCAACTTACTGGTTTGAAGATCTACTCAAGATGACCCCGCATAAGAAAGAATGCTCTGGGCGAAATTCCTCCTTTTTAAATGCATGAAACCTGTACAGTCAGGTTGCTCATTGAACACAGACTGTTTCACAACAAGATACCGTACATTTATGTTTTGATAAAAGAAAAAAGAAAAAAAGAACTTGACTTTTACACAGGGTTACACATCAAGACTATAAACGGAATTTGAGTAGGCCTGCAGGATTTTACCTTTGTCCTTTGCAATTTGCATTTATATATTGCTCACATTTTTTAAGTGGGTTTTATGAACTTTTTATATTTTTTGTTTTAGGCAGTAAATCTATCAGTTACTGCAGAACCAATTAAACTTGAATTTTATAAGGAAGCAACACGCTATGACCGATTTAAGGTTATATAACCCTATCTGTTTTTGATCAACTGTTTAGGTGCCAGGGTTCAAGAAATAAAGACATTCTGTTTTAGGACATTCCGACTCATCTGATCACCTTAAGCTCGGGATGATGGTGGCATGAACTCTGAAAACAGGTGTTATTCATTTTGAGTGTTAGGGCAGCATTATCAATGTTGATTTTATTTTTTTTAAATTTATTTAAATTTTTTGTGACAGGAAGCATGTGGATCTTTTGTCATGATGTTACGTTTAAACTTGTTAACCTCTGAATTGTTTGGACATACTTAATAAATGTGTCATGCACTATTTCCAAGTTGTTGTGTTAGTTAAGTTGAGTTTTTTTTTTCCTACTGACAGGGTTTTGGTGGCATGAACTCTGAACACATTTATTATTAATTTTGAGTGTTAGGGCAGAATTATAAATGTAGATCTTATTTAAAAAAAAAATGTTTTAAATAGCCTGGAAGCATGTGAATCTGTTGTCATTGTGTTACCTTTAAACTTGTTAACCTCTGACTTATTTTGACATATTTAATAAATGACATATTTAATAAATGCACTCTTTCCAAGTTGTTGTGTTAGTTGAGTTGAGTTTTGAGTTAGTTGAGTTTTTTTTTTTTTTTTGCATGTATTCAGCATGTATTCCTTCTGACAGTATTCAACAGGACATGCAAATAATCATAAACATTATTTTTATATTTATAAAAAAATAATCTGGATGTTTAGCATACATACATATCTATCTATCTATCTATACAGTCTTTTTAAAAAATACATTTTTTGATACTTTTGGAGCTTTGGTGTTGCCGACTTTGCATCTAAAATATTAATACTTGATCATACAAATGTAAAATAAAAGCATTTGCTAATATAGTCAAAACTAAATGGTATGACACACAGTAGAATTTTACAGGAACACTTCAAAGAGAAAAATTAGGAAGAATTAGGAAATCAATAAATTATGAATAATTTACTACCCTTGTGTAAATAATATGTAATCCATAAAAATTTAACTGTAATCTGATTATGCGCATTTTAAAATTCAATATACTCTGATTACAAGTACTTAATTTATGGAATCTGATTACATAATCCAGATTACATGTAATCAATTACTATAGGGCTATAGCATGCAAGTGCCCATCTTTTTTCAAATACATAGGTCAAAACACTCAATAAAAAACAAATGCAAATGTTTGTTTAAACGAACATTAACATTAAATTAGTTCAAATTAGTTTAAAGCATTAGGTATTTTGAAATAACAATGAACAATAATTTTACAGCATTTATTAATCTTAGAGGTTAATGTTAGTTTCTACATTGCAAGATGTGTAAAATAATAGGCAAGTTGATGTCTTATGCACGAACAGGAATTAGCACTGAACGATAGTTACAATAATATTGGTAAATTAACATTGCTATCTGTGCATAGCTGAACTAGCTAAAGTTAACCACTAGAGGGTGGTCACTGACATTTAATCGTGTTAATGAGCCTTGATGTTGTTTCAGGACTCCTTCACTGACGTTTACGTCTTAAGTCAATTTTGTCTTGAATCTAATTCTACTAAATAAAAAAGGACATTTGAAATAAAGGCGTGTCCTGTGTTTGTGCTTATATCATAACGTTATGGCTATAAACATGTGACGTTTGAGTAGGCCTACACAATCATAGTGAAAATGCACTTTCAGTGACATTTAAAATTCATAATGTAAACAATATAATAAATAAGCGAAAAT